ATGCCTAAAAGTGAGCCTTCATTTTATGATTGCTTTTTTTCTTTCTACTAATAGGATTTTTTTTAACATTAAGAAGTTTGGAAAATTGACTGTAATACAGCCATAGTTAGTACCTAACATCTGTGATTCTCTGCTTACTAGTCAACAGTTTAATCCAGCGCAACACAGCAATAAAGTTAGCAGTATACATTTTTAAAAAATCCCAGATGTCAATACTTATACTATACACACACACACACACACACACATATAAAAATTCCTATGATATATAAATCTTTCTTTCAAAAAGCAAGTGTTAACCAATCTTGCCTCAACAAAGGTGAAAAGATCCCCCTATCTTAAAAAAAAAAAACGAGAGAAGGAAAATTTTCTAGTGGGGCAGCTTTGTGTATCCTGCCAGCATTAGATGAACCCTTCCACGTTCTGTCTTCTTCATAGTTTTCAATAGTGTTAGTCGTTCCATCAAGATAGAGGCTGATTCAGCCAAGTGAGAATCCTCACAATACAAACATGTATTTCGGTTTTTAACCTAACCACAGAATGTAAAAAAATAAAACAAAAATCTCTCTAGTGACGGCATGCTGGCTAAGAATTGAGCCCACTTACGTAGGTCTGAAGACAGAAGTATCTGCAGAGTTCACACTCACACACTTTCCCTTGCCCCTCTTGTCTTTTAATATGACCAGGAACATATTAAATGCTTCAGTTCTGGTTTTAAGTTAACCAGAGATCCTTTCCCCCAATCAGCAAAGCAGATGGCATATAATGCAAAGTATTTTCAGACACTGAAAAAAAACCTCTTCTTTAAAGAGTGTTCAAAGCTTGAAAAAGTTACTTTTTCTGGATTGTAGTTTTCCAAATCCTCAAGCCTGCACAGCCAACAGTCATAGAGGATGGTCAACTGTGGAAGTTGTAGTAAACAACAACAACATCAACAACAACAACAACTTCTCTGGGCTTTCATACAAATACTGTATACATTCCCAAAGAAGTGCAAAATAATCAGCAGGTCTACCTAAGATCTGGCATGAAAAGTACCAGCCAAACAAGCTAGAGCCTGGGAACCTGTCGGTAAGGCCAATATTCCTCAATCCTCATTGCAAGGTGTGATGCTTGCAATGTCGTGCCACAACAATGACAAACTGCAAAGTTTGTCTTAAGATTTTGGGAACTACCATGTAAGAATGCAAACTAAAAGCAAATGTGTACCAACAGTTATGATTTTTATTTATTTTATTTTATTTATTTTATTTTATTTTATTTATTTAATTGATATGCCGCCCACTCTACCCAAACGTCTCTGGGCGGCTTACAATGAGTTTTAGTTC